ATAAATATTAAAATTGTAGTTATTTTTGTTTCCGAAATGTACTTCACATTAATATGTAGGAAAGAAATGCAGTAATACAAGGCAATTCTAAAAAAATGTGCTGCTTTACCAACTTAAAAAATTGTTTCTTACAATAGAAATTATATATTGCCTAATACAGAGACAGAAGATTTCTTAACCAGACATTTTTCACAGGGGATTCGAACTTTTGCACAGAATTCAAGGATGATAAAATACATAAAAACAAACACTTTAGTTATGAATGCAACTCAAGCAGTGAAACACTAGAGGATGATATGGTGGTTTGGTTTCCAGTGGTTAAACATTGCTTTTCACACTTTTCATTTTTACCATGGATTTCGAGATGAATAAGCTGTTTCACAAATCAGAAGGTATTGCATATCATTTATGGAACTGAGGATGGAAATATGAAGGAAGGCTGTACCAAAATGCTTTCCTTCAAGACTTGTGCCAGAGTATAAAACCTCTAAGAGAATTAAAGTATCTGTGCATGTTCTTTGTCAAGGTCTTCAGGATACAAAGCATCCAAGGAATATAAGGATGTGTTACAGAAGAAATCTTTGTAGATCATCCCAGATGTTGCATTTGAGAATTTTTCCATGCTGTAAATGAGTCTTAGTTGATGATGAGGCATATGCTAGAAGACAGATGCTTACATCCTTACCATGCACAGGGGATGCAGCCTTCATATCTGTAGATTATCAGCTAGATTTTCCTTCATGTTTGTAATTCACTACCAAATGCAGTTATAAGAATTTTTATGTACTATATAATTCTCACTGAAACCAGCAGTTAGCATTCATATTCACACTAGTGGTAAATGCCAATGAATGTATGTGGATTGGAAACATCTGGGACCATTTTGATTGACCCATACTGTTTGTTAGACAAATTGGATGGATGAGCATAGTTGTATTTTTGCAAGAAGTCTCATCATACTTACTGAACCATCTTCCAACAAGCTTTAAAACATAGGTTTGGATTCAGCAGGGAGCCTTGCTTCTTCCATCATAGATATGTGGAATATATGTGCATTTGATAATTAATGTTATGTTGCTTATGTTATAGCTAGGTAAATGTTACAAAGTACATTGTTGTGAGAATTTTCTGCAAAATTTCTTATAATATGATGGCTGAGTATGGCACTAACATGGCACAAATAAATTTTGCTAGTATTACTGCAGGTCATGAAAAGGTGCTTGCAAGTTGTGGCCCAGCATGTAGATAATTAAATTTGAAAATGTAATCTGCAGTAAGGGTACTAAGATGGATTGAAATTAAAAACTATTTTTAAGCAGTAAATTAAATTATCCTGTTCAAATTTTAATGTTCTGCATAAATCTAACACTGTTGATTTATATTTCCTTCAGTCTTTTAATACTTTAAGGGAAATAAATTTACATACTGATTTTTGTTTTTAATTTACCAGGTATGTATTGAAAATAACTTAATTTAATGCATAATCTCTCAAGGGCCTGTTTTGTTTTCATAAATGCACTGAAGCCTCTTCTGGTGATTGCTTTCCCTAAATGACCATTTTAAACATCACATTAAGGCAGCTATATCCACAGAAGATCAAAATTATTTATAATCATTAGCTGTCATCTTGGGGAGGTATTATTGTATTGAATTGGAGATATAAATAATTATAAAAATATGTTAATAAAATTGAGAATAAAAGTTTGGAGAATCAGCATTTTATAACTAGAACAATATTTAATCCATATGGTAAGAACACTGCATTCTGGATTGCAGAATTGTTGCTCTAAAGCTAAATATGTTAAATGTCATAAATTACTAAACTACTTTGATACTTCAGCATTTACTGAATACATTGTTCTTGTAAAGAAAATATTTTTGATGTCTATAGAATGTAATGCGATAAAATTCTCAAACAGTTAGATGAGTGTAAGGCCATTTATATTCAAAACGTCGTTTTCTTATGAGTATCCAAAGTTTCAAAGTGAGGGAATAGTTGGGTTAAAAGAATTACTAGCAGAACTGTCATGTGTATGATACAAAATGTGAATCATTTGTGCCTGTTCTTTGCATGCCAGAGCAATCAAATAATAATTTTACAGTGTAGGTTTATAACCTACTACTACTTCTTTCTTTTCAACTCATCAATGTAAACATCTGTACTGGTGCCAAAAAATATTGCAAAATAAAATGCCAACAGTGTTATTTTTACTGATGAATTCTGCTGTTAAAAGTTGGTGATTGCCAGATGCATGCATAGAAATGACTAAGAAATACAAATCATCTTATGCAAATATGCCATGATTGTATATGCATCTGAAACCATTAGTGTATTAATGCTCGGGCATTGTATGTTCTCCTGTTTAATGACATTTTGGGAGGATTATAATAATATGCGTTGAAGAAATTTATTTTATCATAAAAAAGCATTACAAATAAGTCTTTTTATTACTCTTTTATGTGCATTTGCTTTCGCAATATAATTAGAAGGCAAATTAGTTTCAGAAATTTAATTTATGCAAGAAAATTGTGGGCAAAGTACATTTTGGTCAGCTATTTGCATTGTTAATATTTTTGGTTATTCCTACAAGCTCTTGCTCCGTTTTCAATGTATCTAATTTTTTGTCTTGGTTCCTAGGGGGGGAATCATGCTGATTGTAATTTGTTTCTGTGCTTTGAAAATCCATTATACTAATAAAAATTCTATTGTCATATACAGATAAAAGAAGTAGAAAACCTGAAGGAGGCATTAAAAAGAACTAAAGAAGAATTATCAAATCAAAAGAGGCAGACAATTGATGTACTGAGGATTCTTTCAGAAAATGAGGTACAGTATTTGCCTTTTCTAATGACATAGAAACTTTATGAAATTTAGCTTTGTAAGATTTTAAGTGGCTATATAAATTTATTATTCATTCTCTATTTATAAGTGTCTCATTTGAAATTTTCAGAAAATCTATGAAAAAGATACTATATCAAAAGAGAAGGAAATTATTGCTCAAAAAGAAGAAATATACCGTTTAGAAGAAGAATTAAAATATGTGAAATTTCAGGTATTTTTCATTATTTTACATGAAACAAAATAAGTTTTATGAGACTGCTCTGCCAAATCATTTAATAACTTTTCTTAAGGACCTTCTGTTTATTTAAATCATGAAATCTTAGAATGTCATCTCGGCTTATATTATCTGGAAAGACAAGTGCTTACACAAAATCTTCCATGATAATATTTTTGTTATGCTAAATAACAGAAAATACAATTTTTATATGAGAATTCATATAATTTATTAAGAAAACTGGTGAATCAAAATAATTAAGTATGAAGTTTTATAAATGAATTATAATTTTGGAACCACAAATTTTGTGTTCAGTACAACTAATAAGTATTTTCAGATTTCTTTATTTGCTTTAAGAGCTTCATAGATGGGATAGTGGTTAGTGATACTGACTGCTGTACTGAAGGACCTGGATTTGAAGCCCAGAGAAGGCATGGATGTTTGTCTATTGTCTATGTGGCATGGGGCATTCAAAATATACCATGAACTGAAAGTCCTTTCAAGTGATTTGGTGGTAGGGAAAGAGAGGTGAGACTGTCCTCAAGGGTACTTTTCTTCAAAACTGAAGCAGAACTGAGCAAAGTCATACTGTCACCTTGAAGCTTATATCAATAACATATGATGCTTAAGGCATACACAGAACGATACGGCAGAAACGATACCACAGAAACGATACAGCAAAAAATGATAAGAAATTTTTCTTTTCCCTTTATTTAGAGGAAAAAGTGTATTTTATCTTTCTGAATTTTTTTTAAATGTGTTAGGCTAACTAGGACAGTTGGCAGGGATCAAAGTATGCTGTGTCACAAGTCATAAGCATTTTGAACCAGGTATAGTACATTCAAACCTGAAGAGTTTATATATTGATATGCATCTGTTTGCTCCCTATCTATTATTATCAATTTTCAAAATACTGGAGGGGCTTATGAATTGCTCCATATTTTTAGTTTTGTAATATTTTTAAGTAATATATGTGAATTTTTATAATTTTTCTAATAATGTTTTCCCCTGAAATGGGAAATTTCTGCACATTATGATTAAAAAAATGTATGAACCTAAGTTAATTATTTCCGAATAAATCTTGATGAACCATAATGATTTATGATGGAGCATAAATGGGATTTAACTTACACCAGTTCTTAAGGCAGAAATTTTTAGATCATTATTATTAGATGTAATATTATCTCATTAAATTATAAAAATAAAATTCTGAGAAGTGTTCATGTAGTTTTTCTGTGGCCTGTAATATAACTTTACAAAAACAATTCAAGATTACAGATATGAAAACAATTTAAGACTTTTCAACAACTTTATTTTCAAATTTTTTAAATTCTGCTTCCGATGAAGCAGTGATATGAACAAATGACTTCGTTTTTAAACTACGTTACCATAGCAGCACAGAGTTGCTGCATAAGAAGTACAGTACAAAGCCTTTAATCCAGACTCGTCGGGACTTCAGTGATTCCGGATTAGGGGTTTTTCCGGATTATAGATCATCAATTTAAATCTGGTAAGATGGCATGCAGAAATTATAAAGTAAAAAATATGAAACTGTAATTTATGAAATAAAGAGCAATTATGATCAAAAGGGTATCAAAATTTACACACACACAAAAAAAAAAAAAAAAAAAAAAAAAAAAACTTAATATTTATTTGTTTACTTTATTAAATATTTCTTTCAATGTAAGCCATTTAAGTTGCTTCCTTTTATGTGCTAATACTTTCTCTTTAATTCTATAAACTGACATAACTTCGTGTTCAGTTACAAAGTTCTGCTGTTCAAGTCCCGTAATTGCTGTGCCGAGAATACCGACTAACTTGTCAGTCGAAATTTTTTTGTTTTCACTAACCTCTCTGTCACTTTCTTCATGCCTTGATCCATTTTTTGCAGCAATTCCACTTTTTGTTTCATGGACATCGAAGCATGCTTTCGCTTTGTAGATCCTTTAGCAGCTCCAGAATGGGAAACTCTTTTTCACATAATCGAAAGTTCAAGCTTACTTTTTATAAAATTGCACTAAAAGTCTGCAAAAAATAAGCCAGATCAAATTAGAAGATTAAGGAACAATGCAATCTGCAACATTAACTCAAATAGATAATTAGGTAATTTTAGCCTAGCTTATACCGTCCGTTATATATTAAACGCGCATGCTTAAACGTATTATGTGCATGCATAGCGCAGAAAGTTTGTAGCTTTTGAGGTCCAGATTATAGATCATTCCAGATTATGAACGTCCGGATTAAAGACTTTGTACTGTACAAATATTGCTCATTTGCAGACACTAAAGTGTTGCTCAGCCCCCCACATGCTCACATTTAGCATTAACATAGGGTTCATATAGTTCTTAACAGTCCTTAAAAGTCCATAGATTTTTTGGAACCGATTTTTGGTCCTTAAAAGTCCTTAATTTTGTCCAAAATGAGCAGACGGTCCTTAATTTTAATCATCTGAAATTTCTGTCTGATTTTACGACTGCCATTCTGAGTGTGAATTAGCATTTTGGAGGAATATTTTTGGCGATTCACTGATGTATCTTTTGAATGAGCTCATGGGTTATAATTTGTTTCTATTTCTAATAGAGTGATGGGATACTCGAGTTTCTAAGCAAGAAGTGAAACATAAGCATAGCAAAATTCGTTTTTTTCTAATAAAGAGCCCTTAAACAAATTTTTGCTTTTGGGGATGTGAATTCTTTTATTAAACGGTTCTAAATTTGGCGATTTATCAACATTTTGGTGATTTTAAGATCAGATCCTATAGAAAATTTTTAATTCCGAGATCTGAGAATTTTTCGAAGATTTTTTTTTAAAACATCGTAACATTGAGGAATTTCATTAAAATAATGGTAATGTATTGAAATTATATTTAAAAAGTAACATTAAAAACATTTTTATTTTTCCGCTGTCATATTATACTTTCATTTTGGCAACGTTACAATATTTTGAATCTGAAAAATAAACAAGGTATAATACTATAAAGCACAATTTACGAAACAGCTCTTAGCAAAAGCAAAATTAGCTATGTAATTAATTAAAAATGTCTTCTTTTTAATTTTTTCATAGTAAGAGTTGTTTCCATGTAATTGTCTCGTAGTATTTAGAATTCTTAGAATATGTATCAGTTTTTCTCTATAAAATTAATTTTACACTTTTTCCCTCCCTTTTTTTTTTTTTTTTTTTTTTTCTCAAACTATTTTTGGCCTTTTGCTGTTACAAAATTGGTAGGGATAGGTTTTTTTTTTTTTTTTTTTTTTTTTTAAAGATTTTAGACATTGCAGCTTGGAAAGTTAAAAAAGATTTGAAGGCAAGATTTATAGAGCCACGATTCTAGAAGGTTTGAGAAATATGTGACAAAATGACAAATGTCTCCATGATATCAACACGTAATCGATGTATTTTACAGAAAGTTTGTAATGAATTTCTTACTTTTTGGAGAACGTCTGGAAGAACAATGAAAACATAATATTTGAATGTTTTACTTCTGATACCAGAATCTTAACATGTTTATCTTCCCTTTATTTTCTCTACTTTTCACTAGACACAAACATGGAAAATATCAAAAATGCTTGTAATCTTATCACATGGGTAGGCATTATAGAAAGGGATTTTTTTATTAATAAAGAAATTGAAAACTTACAATTTAAAAGATTAATCTAATATGTCTTAATGCACCATACTCATAGCTGGCACTAGGCATTTTCCCACTTAATGCAATCCCTGTGGATCCTAAATTCTGTTGCCTAGTGCCTTTCTAAATGCATCCAGTGCCAGCTCTAAATTCTAAAAGTTTTGAAATTTATAGATTTTGTTCGGTGTGTCATTCAATTCTAAAAATTCTGCCACATCAGCTCTGTAACTGCCCTTTACCATATACATTTCATATTTCTTCTGAATATTCTTATTACTAAACAAATAAAATTAGTCGCTTTTTCTGTACATTCTAAATGCATTTAATGTTTTTTAGAATAACAGAAATCCTTAAATAAATCAAAAAATTCTAAAATGAAAGGGAAACGTGTTAAAGAAAGAAACTAAATACATAAAGAAAATTATTCTTCAAAGATATGTTCAGTTATTGTTATATAAATTGCCCAATTATTTTTGATTTCAGCTTTTATTATAATTTCTTTTTCCTCATATGATAGTTACTGAGCCAACCCTCTGAGCGATCAGGGTTTTCGCTAAGAAAGCACAAATTTCCCAAAACTACTATGAGAACAAATTATGTTTTTGATTTTAATGTAAAAATTCTCCTGGTATTATATACCTAGATTTGTATACTTTTGATATATTGCCTCAATTTCTTTGACATATTTTAATATGCACGTATATATACATTCTTACAGATATCACAAAAAATATTCTAGGCCGTATATATACGGCCGTGCCGCTTAGAGGGTTAAATTTAAACTAAATTGTATATATTTAAACTAAATATCTTTGACCACTAGTCCACATTTTTAGTTTGAATTTGACTGTTCTTGTTTAAATATGTCACCGTGAGCTGTAATTGATTTTGATAGCATCAGAACATGCCTTTATGTTTTAAGTTCTTTTTAAATAAGAGGCTTATTTAAACCTTTGTCTGATATTGCAGTTACTTTCAAACATAGCGATAATATGCTTCATGTCTGTCAAGGGGTTCGGACTATTTAACTTTTACTAGATCAAATAAACCCTCATAGGTACATTGCGGAGAGGTTGACAAGTTACAAGATAAAGCACGCAGAAACTAGCAAGAGCATTGGTTTTTGCAATATTGAAACAAATCTGTAATTGTTAGAAAAGATGCTTAAAGAGAAGGAAATCGATATAAAGTAGCCAAAATGTCTGGGAAGGCTTCAAATTAAAATGAAGTATAAATATTTTGTTGAGTGTTGTTGTTACAAAACATAAATGTTTTGTAGCTTTTAATGTGTACTTATCCTAATATCGTTTAAGAATCAATGTCATAAATTACATGTATTTTAAACTGTGAAATTTTATTACATTTTGAT